AAATGACTATTTTACAGCTTCTAATGAAATAACCAATTCAGGCAATGGTCATCAAGGAAAGGTGAAACTACTGGTAAAAGGTTGATAGGGACCTTTACCATGATGTAATCAAGACTTTCACCATCTGAACCCATGAATTTTAGCATTACTAAAAGCAGGACACCTAGATATTATTTGCCTTCCAGTGTACATTGTACTGCTGTACCCATCTCCTCCAAATTGAGCCTGAATCTAATAAAGTCATTATATCTAACTTCCAGCCTATAGGAAATAGAGAGGACCAAGTAACAATTTAAATAAACATAGGAAGCAATGAGTCAAATCCAGACTGTGGCTTATTTTCCATCATAACTAGTTTCTTTAAAAAGCCTATGGAGGCTGGCTGGGTATGGTGGCTCATGCTGTCATCCCAGCACTTTGGGAGGCCGAGGCAGGAAAATCATTTGAGCCCAGAGTTCAAGACCAGTCTGGGCAGCAAAGTGAGACCCTGTCTTTACAAAAAGAAATTTAAAAATAAGCCAGGTGTGATGGCGCCTGCCTGTAGTCCCAGCTATTCCAGTGGCTGAGGTAGAAGGATCTTCTGAGCCCAGGAGGTCGAGGCTGCAGTGAGCCTTGCACTCCAGCCTGGGCATCAGAGTAACACCCCAATTCAAAAAAAAAAAAAAGCCAATGGACTATTAAAAGATGGGGGAAAGAAGGAGAATAAACTATTTTAGAATAATGTGAAGTCTAGAAACATAATTAATTAAATGCAGTAGAAAAAATGTTGTTGGATCTTGATTTGAGTGAAGCAACTTTAAAAAACATTTAGTCACTCAATGAAATATGAGTAGTGGACTGAGTATTAGAAGATATTAAAGAAGTACTGTTAATTTCATTAGGTATGGTAATGACATTGTGTTATAGAAGAAAAGCCCCTGTTTTTTTTAGATGCATAACTAAAGCACTTTGGGGATGTAGTGAAATGATGTACTTTATAATACCCCAGCAAACCAAAAGAGTTTTGGGAAAGGAAAATGAGATGGACAGATCGACAGAAAAATGGATGAAGCAAGTATCGCAATATATTAGTAACTGTTGAAGTGGATAAGAGGCATAGCAGTTCACTATACTCTGTTTTTGTACACATTTGAAAAAGTAAAACAGTTAAAAAAAAAAAAAAAAGAGCCTGGGTAGAGATCTAGGATCCAAAAAATCTAGAATATAAGGATATGTTGGTCAGTAAGATGAGAATGAACTATAGTCGCTACTCTTATTGAAAGAGAAAATCAGAAAAGAGACGTTAATTCTCTTATACAAAAAAAGTCAAAGGAGAAAATGTGTTAGATAAAGTATGTGCTGAAGTCCACAGAAGGAAAGGAAGGCAGCACTCTAATTTGGGTCCTCCCAAATGTCTGTGCTCCACCCATGAAAAGTATGGGCCTGTTTCAGCATGGGAGGGAGGAACAGCCACAGGTTCATAATGGACGCCAATTTGGAAGAAAGCAGGCTACAAGGAAAAGGACTGCTGTATAAAGGGATTGGACTATCTGGATTTTATCCTAGAAAGTAGAAAGATTAATTAAATTTAAAATGAAACATAAAGGTACATTATGAATTGACTCCAAGTTTAAAACTGGCTGCTCAACCTCTAAAGGTAAACAACATTATATATGTATTTTTAATGTGAGTGAGACCTCTCCCAGAAGCACACCAGTTGCTTCTAAAATTGTAAAGATGTGAACATGTATAACTGTTCTTCCACAGTGGAAAAAAAGGCAGAACTCTTTTCCTGAAAGAAGCTGAATAGCACCATCATCATGGTGTGATAGTTAAGACATACACAAACATAACACACATACACTCACACTCACCAACACATATACACACAAACACACACATTATTTTAGGCAATGTTAAAGTGTGTTTGTGTATTTTGGCATCCATGTTTAAATTAAATGTTTGTGCATGTATAATAGGCATCTGATATGGCTATTTTCTCTTTACTTTCATTCTACCTATTAATTTACAGTTAATGCTCTAAAATAATTCAAAGCTTCTTTTATTTCAGCTAACATAATAAAAATTTAGCCATCAAGGGCATAGACTACACTGTCCATGATGGGTGAATAATACAGCAAGATCTCATTTATTTGACAGTCATAAACATTCGAGTACCTTCTTTGTACCAGACACTACACTAGCTCTTAGGGATACAAAGATGGATACCAGAGGACAGAGGAAAAGACACTTCCGCACCTATTCTCTCAGAATTCACTACAAAACAGCAAGGAAAAATAAGAAACTAAAATACTAATTCTGTCTTTGAAGAACCTAAGAGCTAAAGGTAGCTGACTAAGCAGTCTCCTCACAAGCCACGTTCACTATGGAACCCTGGAGAGACATAGGGGTTGAAGGCCCAGGTGTGGCACAGGCAACCCCATTTTGTGGATAGTTATGCATTCAGGACCTTGTCTCTCTTCCTCTACAACTATAGGACATGAGAGGGTTATTCTCTAGAAAAATCAAACCAAAGAAGCTCTGGTTGGAATACCAAAAATTGCAGAAGGCAGAGATGAGGATGGAAAAAAAAAAAGGAAAGTAAATAAAATCATGCCTAGTGAATACTGTGACCTCACCCCTCAGGGTCCCAGAACATTTCAGCCAGGCTACTACCCCTCACGTCACCCCTACTCCAGGCAGGAAACTAGGAGCTCCTTCTCTGAAAAGGCTGTAAATCCCCAAAGGGAAAGGACATGAAATAGAGGGTTCCTCAATGAACATGGCAGCTCATCCTCCAACTATCTTTTAGTGAGGCAAAATCGATTCCATGCCCTGTCCATAAGCCAGCTTGGAGTACCTAAATTCTATATAGGGATACATGGCCAAGGGTCACCAGACATTTGAGAAAATAGAAACAGTGCAAGGAATAGAAGGAAAAACTTCAACAGCAACAACTCTACAATTAATAATCCCTCAGACAGAGAAGAAAAATATCTTATGTATGAAACAAGAAAAGTATGTTCCCCCAAAAAAGGCTTTTGTAAATTAAAAAATGAAGTCAAATTTTTAAAAATTAATACAAGGGCTAAAAAAGATTAGGAAATGTCTCAAGAGGTACATCCAAAATACAAAAAAGTAGATAATAGGATAATTCATTTAATAAATGAGTACTTCCATTATTATGTATCAAACTATTATGTAACATTAATTTATTAAAGTGATTATTGGCCAGGCATGGTGGCTCATGCCTACAATCCCAGCACATTAAAAGGCCAAGGTGGGAACATTGCTTGAGCCCACGGATTCTAGCCCAGTCTAGGCAACATAGCAAGACCGGATCTCTACAAAAAATAAAAAAATTAGCAAGGCACGTGCCTGAACCCAGGAAGACAAAGCTGCAGTGAGCTGTGATTGCGCCACTGCACTCCAAGTGATAGAGATTCTGACTCAAAAAAAAAAAGTGATTATTAAAGAAAACACTGATTTACATATTGGGAAGTTAGAGATAAGAGAATAAATCCTTATCCATCATAACAGGAAGTCAGTTGATAGTTTCTAAAATCACAGAATCAAGAGAGAAGTATAAAGACATTATTTAGAATTATAGAAGCAATACAACACTTTGAAAGGGGTGGTCTCCGCCAGGTGTGGTGGCTCAAGTCTATATAATCCCAGCACTTTGGAAGGCTGAGGCGAGAAGACTGCCTGAGCCCGGGGATTCGAGACCAGCCTGGGTAACTTGGTGAGACCTCATCTCTACAATAAATCAAAAAATTAGACAGGCGTGGTAGCATGCGCCTGTAGTTCCAGCTACTTGGAAGGCTGAGGAAGAAGGATCGCCAGAGCCCAGCAGGTTGACGCTGTGAGCATGCCACTACACTCCATCCTGGGCAATGGAGTGAGACTCTGACTCAAAAAAATGAAAATAAAAATAAAGAAAGTGGTGGTCTCTGGGAACAGGATCAAAGGATTGGAAAGAAGTGAAATGAAATGGGATTGTTTTATCTAACTTCTAAAGTATATGCATTTATTTCACTTTGATAAGGATGGAGATTAGGCCGGCTCGGTGGCTCAGCCTGTAATCCCAGCAATTTGGGAGGCCAAGGTGAGTGGATTACCTGAGCCTGCGGGTTTGAGACCAGTCCAGGCAACTTGGCGGGACCTCGTCTCTGCAATAAATCGAAAATTAGCCAGGATTGCTGGAGTCCAGCAGGTCGATATTGGGGTGGCCGTGAGTGTGCCATTGCACTCTAGCCTGGGTGACGGAGTGAGACTCCAACTCAAAAAAAACCAAACAAACAAACAAAAAAAGGATAAAGATGGAAATTAATGTAAAAAAGATCAATATGCAAATATCCCTGTTCTTATGGAGTTTATATTCTATTGAAAGAACATGTAAAGCAACAGTTCAAGGAGTATGCAATAAATAATCTGACAGAAGCATGGAAAATTCTGTTCAGTCAAATGAGGAAAGTTTCTGAGAAAAGGAGATATTTGAACTGAGAATTTAAAAAATAAAAGCATGTTAACAGGTCAGAGAAAAGATTATGGGCATTTCTTCCTACACATGTAAGCTTTCTTTCTAAAACACAAATGATTGCAATCTATAAATATGCTTTTGCACCTGGTTTTTTACTTAATATATCTTGGAGACTGTTTTTCAGATGCTTCTTATTAAAAACAACAAAAACACACACTGCTTCTTATAAAAAATTAAACAGTTTACACAATTTCAAAATAAAGAGTAAAAATAATTTCCTTTGGCCTCCCACTCCTACTTCTCAAGGATAAGCACTTTTAATTTCCTCCCAGACTTTTTTCTATACAAATAATACTACATGTATATGTAAATATTCTTGAATATAAGCAAATGTAAAAGTAAAATGTTTTGTATGCTTACTATATCTTATACACATACTTCTTGTATACATAAAATACATTTATATTCTTTAAGGTATCTTAAAATCAAGGATTCTGTGATAACAAATATTAAGAAATCTCACTGCATGTCCACTTACCAACGCAGTCACAGCACTCATCCCAAAGAGCCCCAAGACACAGCATGCACTCCTTACAACAGGAGCAATTGCCTTCACCAGGCCGGCACTGGCAGAGCTCCTAGAAGTAAGACAGCCATTTAATCTTCAAGTTCCAAATGACCATACGTAAAATGGCTTAAGTAAAAAAACCCCACAATATTTGCATTTACAGTAATTTATTCTTGACACAATTTTTAAAATTAACTATTTGTTAGAACATAAATATCTATAATATCAAGTTTCTTTTAATTTTGAACACATTTTGGATGTTTTTACCTTATTTTGAGAACAAAAAACCATTTTATTATATTACCCATAACTTTACCCCCCAACACCACCTCATAACAAATAATTCAGTATAAAAAACAAAACCTAGTTTTCAGTTATTAGATTCACTGTCTAAATTAATCTAAATAAATAGCCAACTTGCAGTGGGAAATGCATTTTCTCAATATGTAAAGTATAAAAATATCTTTTAAAAATATGCTATTTTTATTGACCTGTGATGTATTAAAACAGTGTGATAGGTTACCTACAAAAAAGGTGGCGATTATTCCTTCCTCCCACCCCCGCCATGTCTCCCCTCTTTTCAATATAACTCTGTAGCTCTTCTGCAAAAGAAGAGAAACAAGGTCTATTTCCAGAATCTCTTCATTGAGACGATCTGGAGACTCACTTTGATCAACAGAATTTGGTGGTACTGACATCATGTCAGTTCTCAGTCTAGGCCTCAAGAAGCCTAGAATGCATCCACTCTTTAAGAACTTTGCCCAAAGGTCAGGCATGGTAGCGCATACCTGTAATTCTGGCTACTTGGAAGGCTGGGGTAGAAGGATCACCTGAGGGACCAGGGGGTCAATGCTGGGATGGCCATGAGTGTGCCACTGCACTCCAGCCTGAGTGACAGAGTGAAACTCTGACTCAAAAAAAAAAAAAAAAAGGAAGAAAGAACTTTGCGCAGGTCCATGTGAAGCCAGGATAAGGACACAAGGACCAGTCAGTCCACCTGAAGCCATCCTAGATCAGCCAGCCTCCAACCAACCAGTAGCTGACAACAGACACAGGAATAAGGCCTCTGAACCACCGAGCTGATCTAGGCCAAACTGCCAACCCAGAGAAACATGAGCTAAAATAATGGTTATTTTAAATGATTAAATTTGGGGATGGTTTGTTATTCCATGAGAGCTGACTAATACAGCTTACTTTGTAAATGAAGCTTCAGGGCAATTCCTTTGGCCCTTGCCCCTGCCCTTCCTTTGCCATCAGACTTCCATTCCTGAGCAAACCCAAATCAGAAATTCTACCTTATTTGGCTCTCCCTGGCTTAAAAGAGCACCACACATATGTATAAGAAAAACATCAATATTTATGATTTTGGTGACAATAATGTATGACAAAACTGATTTTACCCTCAGACTTAGAAGGAACTTCACAGATCGACTAAATCATCCTTGCATCCAAAACTAGAAGCTCTTTCATAATGTCCCATCAACAAATGGTCATTTTAGCTCACAGCTAATGAGGAACTTAACTCAAAATAGCCTGTCCCAATCTTGTAAAACTCTAATAAGTGTTTCATATGTTGAAATGAAGCCTGATTCCCGGAAACCTGCTCTTTTAAGGCTCCCTCTCCTCCGCACAGAATTTCTCTTCAACAAAGCCATTCTAATTTTCCATTCCAATTTCTAATAATGCTATAGTTCTTGGTTCTAGTCCTTTGTGAGGCCAGCTGCACTTCCTGTTCTTAGAGATATTCTTATCAGTTGAAGATAATATTCTTGAGATAGTCTTATCAACTGGAGTGTAGGCTTAAGTTACTTCCAACCAAAAAAGCCCTGTTATAAAACAGTTATCTTTTATTCTCTTGTCTGTTCATTTTAGATAGAATTCTCCCATAGTTTCTACAACTTTCCCTCATGACATGATGTTAACTCATAGCACCCTACCATTAGCTTTGTCATGAATTGAAAGTGTAGTGATCATAAATAATAACAATCAGCATCATCGTCCTCAGGGTACAATGTAACTAGCCAAGAAACAGAGCAAACCTCTTCCCTCCTTGATTCTGGACACCCTTTCAAAAATTAAAGTAGCCTAAAATTAGTTTGTTTTTGAAAGCAATATGCTATTAGTAGTTGTGGTGGTATTTTCAAACTATTCCAATAACTGATTTCAGTAAGATTTTAAAAATCCAAGACCTAACTGAACACTACTGATATATGTTTTAAAAAATTAACCAGTGCTATATCAACCATTGTTTCTCTATATCAGTACTGTGCTTTTAAAACTTCAACAAAGGGCATATTTATCCTTATTAAATTCATCTTATTATATTTCTAGGCTATTGGAATCAGCCTATCACTCTAACATGACATTGTTTGCAACACTGATTTTAATTCATTTTTTTTGTTCCAAAGCTCCAATAACTTTTATACAACACTTTCAAAACAACACCTGGCTGGGCACAGTGGCTCAAACCTATAATCCCAGCACTTTGGGAGGCCAAGGTAGGAAGACTGCTTGAGCCCAGGAGTTCAAGATCAGCCTAGGCAGCATAGTGAGACCTCATCTCAACAAAAAAAATGTTAAATATTAGCCAAGCGTGGTGGCAAGTACCTGTAGTCCCAACTACTCAGGAGGCTAAGGTAGAAGGATCGCCTGAACCCAGAAGGTCAAGGCTACGAGTGAGCCATGAGCATGCGATCTAGTCTGAGCGACCGAGTGAGACCTCAACTTAAAAAAAAAAAACCAGCACTTGTACTATTTTCTAACTAGTTCATTAGTTTAATGTGAGTGTATAATTGTGACCAATGTATGCAAATTATAATATGTTAGTAGTGTAGAATTCTATATACTCAGACTGCATTCATGTGATACAGACATTGGGTAACTTTGCTGGGCATGTTAGAAAAAGAAGAACTACTAATAGGGCAGAAACTTACTTAGAAGTATATATGCTTAGCCGGGCTCGGTGGCTCAGCCTGTAATCCCGCACTTTGGAAGGCCGAGGTGAGTGGATTGCCTGGCAACTTGGCAAGACCTCATCTCTACAATAAATCAAAAAATCAGCTGAGCATGGTAGTGTGTGCCTGTAATTCCGGCTACTCGGAAGGCTGAGGCGGAAGGATCACCGGAGCCCAGCAGGTCGAGGCTGCAGTGGCTGGGAGTATACCACTGCCCTGGGTGATAGAGTGAGACTCCAGTTCAAAAAAAAAAAAGAAGTATATATGCTTAACCACAAAACTGGTAATGCTTCACTCAGACAAACTCAAACTTAATTGGAAATCTAGAAAAACAGAGTAGACAAAGCTATACTTTGTCACTTTTTTCTTCATAAAAACCTGTCTGTCCTGTCTTTGGAGTGAGAGGATATATTCTTTTTTTTTTCCTTGAGACAGGGTCTCACTCCATTGCCCAGGCTGGAGTGCATCCCACACCACACCTGGCTAAGGATATTGATAATTATATATATATATATATAAAGGTTACTACTTAGTCACAAGAAATAACGCTTTTTAAAAAAATTAATTTATATCATATGCAGAAAATATCCCTTTACTATCTTAGTTGCTTATATAGGTTGAGTATTCCTTATCTGAAATGAAAGGTTTAAGAGCTCAAGAAGTTTTAGGTAAAAAATTAGAGAACAGTCAGGGTAGTCTGCCCAGCTCGGTCATGCTTAAAGCAACAAATAGTTCTAGCCTGTCACTGACTATTAGTTCACAAAACCCATTAGGTAAAATGAATAATTGCTTGTAACCCCTTGGCAATTTGTTTTTCAGGTACATGAAGTAAGGCTGACCTAACACTCTATTGTGATCAACTTTCGATGACTGCCCATCAGTCCCCTGCCTGAAATCACAAGATACAGGTTGCTCTGACAACCCCAAGGCACCTGATTGATGTTGGCGATGCCTAAGAACGCAGCTTCTGGGGAAACTTACCCATCCCTTATTTCCCCATAAAAGCTCAAATCTTTAATACCCCCTGTACCCAAGCCACGCTCTCTTTCTTAGGCCTTCTTTCTGTCTGTGGAAAGTGGATAGTAAATTATTTTGCTCAACTTTTGCATATCTTTGCGTTATTCCCATGGCACCGGCATACCCTGTCACAGTTTACTTTTCATGAAAAGCTTGGGATCCAAAGTTTTGAATTTTTTTTCCCCCATTTTGTAATATTTGCATTATACTGGTTGAGCATCTCATATTCAAAAATCCAAAATCTGAAATGCTCCAATGAGCATTTCCTTTGTGTGTCATGTTGCTGCTCAAAAAGTTTCAGATTTTTGGAGCATTTTGGATTTTAGATTTTCAGATTTGGGATGCTCAGCTTGTATTAATATTATTATTTAAGCTAACTCAGGAGAGGCAAATTAGAAAAATAACAAATTCATTCAAAGAATACAGCATCTCTCTAGCAATGAATTGCATTGTTATACTAAATAATTTTAAAACTGAGTGTCAATTTAATGGCTTCCATTAGAGAAATCTGAGTCTCTCATACATTCAGTATGCCTTTTATTGTCAGGTAGTAGTGAAGTGGTGTAAATTGGAATGAAAGGGTGGGTGTGAAATTACTGCTAACTAATGGAAAGTTAAAACTAACGCCTAAAAAGGTTAAAAGTTAAAAGTTGCTTGAACTTGCTGGAGTTATCTAGCCCTGAAGAGTAAATGTATTTCATACCCTCTTAATAGATGCCGGTGCTGTACTTTTACATGTTGGTGGATAGAGTAATATGCTGTAGTAATATGCCCACTGACTTATAATTTAGTGAAAAGCTACAGGAAGGAAAAACATGGAGGAAATTACTTAAAAATAAGCTTTTATTACTGTACTATTAAAAAGACAAAAATCCAGGTTGACTTTAACGGTAAAAATTTCTTTTAAAACTAGTGGATGCCAAACAACAATATCCTAATAGTTTTATTTCATCTTACTATAGAAAAGACTGAAAATCTTTGTCTTAATGAAATAGAAATTTAACAGCCATAAATTAAGAAGCAGTAATAATTTGAGTAAATAAGTCTCCAAACATAACAAATACTCTCTACTCTTCACAGCTCATGTCAGCATTCTCTT